TTTGCCACCACCACCACCACCACTGCCACCATCACCACTGCTGTTATCATCATCACCTTCCTTAGCTTCATTTTCTGTATTATCTTAATCTTCACCCATCACTTGCTATGGCAGATGGCTTCAGAGATGGGACAATGCCATGAGAACATGAGAGCCTCAAGGTGACTTGTTCTGCTCTGAGATAAGCAGAGCCAGTAGGAGGGGCTTCAGTGCAGTTGTCAATCACCCAGAGGAGGAAACTGGCAGGCAAGATGAGGCAGCAGGAGGGAGGGCATACCTCCAGAGCCAGGTGGAGAGGGATCTCCTGGGTATGTCAGTCTCAAACTGTCTGCACTGTGGGCTTTGAGAAGGACTCTGGGAAGAGTGGAAAGATGGTCAGATGTGAGAGAAGAGGAGGCAGGGCTGAGAGGGCCCCTGGAAGGAGGAGACTGCCCTTGCCCTGATGGCCTTGTCCTCATGTTGCTCCTTTCCCTGGTGGTAAACCTGGCCTAAATTTAATCAACTTGCTTTCACTTATTCTAGCCTTATCTCTTGATGTGCTAGGGAATTCAGTGAACAGTCGAGTAAGGCTGATGGGGGAGCCCCCCACAAAGCAGGGACCAGAAGTAGGAGACATAAGAAGACCCTGACCCTCAGGAGCAGGCCCTCTACTTGCCAGGTGCAGGCAACTCTAAACAAGAACTTCAGTCCTGCCCTCAGAAACAATGCAAAAGACACATAAATATTTTCTGTGCCTTCCTGGGAAAACACCTAAGGAGGCACTGCATGCATAATGTGCAACCAAACTTTATAAGATCCCCTCTCCCCAACTCTCCTCCTCCTTGCACCCCTCTTCCACGATGTTGGCTCCTCCCCTTCTCTATGCGGGCCTTCTCGAAGCTCTCCCCCTGCCCACAGTGGGCTCCTTAGCCTGGGTCCCTGTCTCCTCAGCCCGCCTCTACCCCCATGCTCCTCAGTGTCCTCTCCACTGTAAAGCTACCAAGACAAGCCTCATCCTCAAGCCACTTGGTCTGTGTCCCACAAGCTGAGCAGTTGAGCCCATTCCAAGGAGGAGAACGGCGACTATTCCTAACCGAGGCATAATTGTGGCCAAGGCAAAGCTTCTGAGAGCAGAAGACACGGGGCCCCTTCTGGAGGTGGGGATTGAAGGAGGTGATGACCAAGGCCTTTGTTATGGTCCCATGGCAGGCAGGCAGGCAGGCAGGCACCAGCCCAAGACCTGGGGCAGCACGGGGTTGTCTATGGGCTGAGTCACAGCCCCTGCCCTTGATGCTGACCACTGGGTGCCAGCTTGTGGGTGCACCCCCAGTGACAGCTGTCAGGCTCCCAACCATGGTCCCACACTGAAATCGCAGGAGGGGCTTTAGGAAAACACTGATTTACCATGGCCTCCACCAGAAATTAAATTTACTTGGCGTGGTGCAAGACCCAAGGCATCTAGGAACACTGGGCCTTTTGAGAATTCCCTGGGAGATGCTAATGCACAACTAAGGATGAGATCCACTAGAGTGCTAGATTTCATTCCTTCTGAGAAGGCCCCAGGCCCAGGAGCTCCATGACACAGTGCTGGGCTCAGCACCCCTTCTTCCTCCAGGCCCCTTCTGGATCCACCAGGAGGGAGAGGAGTTGGAACCAAGACTGGCTGGAGCAGAATAACTTAAGAGTGCAGTATGAGCTTCATTCCTTCAGCAATCACATATTCAATAATATTTAATATGAGCGTGCTGCTGAGGTAAGGAAGGACAATGACTGAGTAGCCCAGTTTAAGTCTGAGCAGTAAGGAGGAGATGGAATTTACACCAAGACCCAAGTGACAGGAAGGAAGAAGCCATGCAGCAAGGCTGTCATGGCCAGCAGAAAGAGCAGAAGCAGGCAGGTCCTTTGCAGGGCGCAGGTCTGCAAGCCAGGCAGGGGCACGTCACAGAAGGCCTTTGAGCATCGGGAAGTGCTGGCCTTTTTCCTTTACTCAGGGGAGCCCCTGGAGGGCTTCTAGGAGCAGAGTTTGGGCTTTTAAGAGACACTCAGGCTGCAGTAGCAGGTGGCTGGTGGAGCCAGATGGTCACAGGTGAACAGTCCACTCCAGCAGTGTCACAGCCACCCTGTGACCACAGTGCAGGGGAAGGACAGCAACAGCTTTTCCCAATTGGGGAATGTAGGTCAGGCAGCCCAGCTCCCTCTGCCAAGCAGCCGAAGCAGCCCCCTCGCCTGTCAGGGGGGAAAAGCTGAGTCTGAGATGTGTGGGCTCAGCTGAGATCTGCACTGGCAGGGAAGGCAGAGATAGCAGCTATCCAGGTGCGAGGATCTGGGCCACTGACTGGGGTCCCCTCATCCCCCTTCCCAGCATGGCTCCCCCCCCCACCTCCACCCCCTTGCCAGATCCCCAGCAAGCCTTGCCATGTGCAGGAGCAGGCGGCTGTATTTTAAGATCAGGGCTCAGACCTCTAAATAAACCATAAACAGAGCCAGCTTCTCTGGTATGGAGGGAGGGAACCGGGCTCCATTTCTTTTGAATGCACTGACTGGGAAATAAACAAGTGGCTGTGGCTGTCACATACACTTCACCCTTTGCAAAGACATCTGTCAGACCCAAGAGCTTCTGCCTCAGCCTTTCCAAGAAATAACCAATGTGCCCCCAACTCAGGCTTTCCCCACAGGCTCCAAATTTGCTTTTGTGTCCAAGGAAAGGGGGGCATGGAGGCTTGTCCCTGACCCTAGCCTCAAAGGACAGCTGTGGACAAGGGAGCATGTAGCTTGGAGCATGGAAGGATTCAGGGGAAGGAGGAGGGGAAGGGCAAGGAGGTGGGGTTGGTGTCAGAAGCAAAGAATGATGGGACAGAGCTGAGAGGCAGGGGTCCCCCTAATAAGACAGGTGGGATGTCAAGGTCCTAGGGGTCAGGCAGAGCCCAGAGGTCTGTGGTCAGGGTGGCTGCAGGCTTGAGAGAGACAAATAGACCAAAGGCAGACGGGCTCTCTCTCCAAGGGCAAAGTCTCCTATGACTACAAAAGAAAAAGGAATGAGCAAGAACAAAAACAGCTCAGAACAGAAGGAACAGGACAGTAAATAAAACAAGCAGGGAAGAAACCCCCACAGTCATGCAAGCCAAGCTCTTCCAGGATGAAAGCCCCTCTCACATATCCAAGGCAAAAGTGATTTCTGCATCCAGTTCAGCCAGGAATATCAGGAGAAGCTAGGGAGTGGGAGGGGCTGCGAGCTTCAGAGGGAGCAGAGAGAAAGACAGGAGGTGGGGAGGCTAGAGTTGGGCAAGGCCAGGCAGGCTGCCACCCAGGTGCTGCCACCAAGGGCAACTGCTGGGGGGAGCCCCAACATCACCCTCTCCCACACCACAGGAGGGGCCTGAGCCAAAGTGAGGGGCAGTAGCCCCCCTCTGAAACATGAGCCCCTCCACAAGGGCTGGCACAGAGAGACCCAGGCCTCCAGGCTGCAGCCCAGTCAAGTGTGGGGGAGTCCCAGCTTCAAATGACAGCAGCTGACCTAGACAGAGCAGTCTAGGTGAGCACCAGGCAAAACAAAGGCTCCCATAGAGATAGACATGGAGCAAAGACACCGAATGCCAGGCTCTCTCTCTCTCTCTCTCTCTCTCTCTCTCTCTCTCTCTCTCTCTCTCCTTTTTAGTATCAACCATTAGAAGAGAGAAGCAGGCTTATGTCTCTTACCAGTCTGTTCTCCCTCCCACAGTGACTACCTCACTGGAATGTCAGAGTGTGATGCCCTTTCAGAGGGTTACATACTTTGTATATGCAGAGGGGAGCAGCTGACCCAGGATGAGTCAGGTTTGGAGCCTGGAGCCCTCACATGAAGCCAGACTGAGGGTTCTGCCCAGGCCTTCCTGGGAGCCCAGAGTGGCTGAAGCACACAGAGTGGCTCTCTGGCTGGTTGGCACATGAGGGCCGTGTATAGAGGACTTGCTTCTGTCTCACCGAGGCTGTGAGTCCAGAGCCACCTTGGAAGGGTTGTCCCAGGACTTCTGAGCTGCCAACACGCACATCACACAGGGCTCCCTTCTCTGCCAATGGTACCATTCAAATGTAAGGTCCTCCCAGGGCTGCAGGCTCATCCTCAGCTCAGCTCCTGAGGAGGCCTTGAGGATAATCCCAGGAACCAAGAGCTCAGCTCGGGCCCACAAGTCTCTCCTGGAATGGGGTTCAGGTACGGAGCAAACCTACGCTGTGTCAGCACATTGTGCACATAGCACCCGCACATCCCACTGACACATGTCCCAGGTGTCCCCTGCACTGGCACACTGTATACTCCACACCCTCTTTTTTATCCAAACTACACACAGACGCTGAAAATTCCTACTGTACACACACACCCTCCGTGCACTCCTTTGCAGCCCACACACCACACAGGCCTGTATACACGCTGCCCACGCAGAGCTCCCCGGCAGAACTCCACGATTCCCTCCCACGCCAGTGGGGGGCGCACCCCCTCCCCACGCTAAGCTGAGTTCGCCAACCTGAGGCTGCCCTGATCCCTACTCATCTCCTCTCCCCTCCAGCTTCTGTTCCCAACAGTCCATCCCCAGGCTCGGGAAAACTTTTCTTCGGGTCCCCAAAAGAGGAAACCAGAAATCCTCCTTTCTGTCCTGCGCCGGTCACACAAGCTGCCCCTCAGTCTCAGTCTCCTTCCAGACCCAACCAGGAAAGGTCACCATAGGCAGCCCTCTGCTTGCACCCTGGGGGTGGTAGCAACAACAGCTGTCACCAGAGTGTGTGTGTGTGTGTGTGTGTGTGTGTGTGTGTGTGTGTGTGTGTGTGGTGGGGGGAGTACTAAGGGGAAGGAGTCTGCCCCACGCCGAGCTGGGGTGCAAAGGATCGCAGCAGCTTCTACCAGCCTGAGGCTACAGCCGAGCCCGGCGAGGCGCGTGGAGCTGTCCCTTCAGCACCTCCGCCCGCCCTGCACAGGGCCGACTTGCCCAGGGGCACGGGCTCCGCTCCGGCTCCGGCTGCGGGAGCCTGCGGCTTGGGCTCCTGCTTCTCCCGGTGGGCGAGGGGCGCACTGATCCCGAGAAGGGCCTGCACCAGCGTCGGGGCCACGCAGCCACCTGTGCGCCTCCTGCCGCTGCGGGCGGCGGTGGCGTGCCGGGCCGAGACGCGAGGAGACGCCGGTGGACCCGCCCGCGGCCCGCTAGGCGCACACACAGGCGCACACCCGGGCGCACCGCGCGCGCCCGCACAGCCAGCCGGCGGCTGCCACCGCCGCGATGCTCTCCGGCGGGTCTGGGAAGTTTCCCGCCGGCCTCGGCCGCAGGCGCCGCTGCTCCCAGGTAAGCGCTGCCTACTAGATCGCTCAGGGCGAGCCTGGCAGCTCCGCGGGGTGAGGCGCGGTGCACGCGGCCCGGGGCACGGCGCCAGGAGGGCGGGCGGGGAACCCAGACAGGGGAGCCCAGGGTCTCTGTCATACCGGGAGGACTCAGGGGCGGAAGAGCGGGGGTCGCTACCCCTCCCAGGTTTCCTGGCTCGGGTGGAAAACCGCAGAGCCCCCTCCCAAACCTCCGAGCCCCCCTTCTCGGCCCAGCCCTGCGCAGCGTGGCGCGGGTCCCGCCTGTCTGCGGCCCGGCGGGGGCGTCTCCCCGGCCTGCCCAAGGGCAAGGTCTGCATGCAGCGACCACTGCACCCACAGCCGCCGGGCGCGACCCCAGCAGTGAATGGCGATCGCCGGGACCCCGGAGAGGGGGGGCAGCAGCCAGGGCCATCCTAGGAGAAGTCACACCGCTGCCTTTCCCGGGGAGGGGGCCCAGCCTCAGAGACGATGCCCCCGCCCCAGAGCCCCTCAGCTCCCCGGACCTGCCTGGAGAGGGGAGGGAGGGACGCGCGGGGTGGGAAGCCAGTGCCCGCGTGATGTGGCCCCTCCGCCCGCAGGTGTAGCGCCCCCGCACGGCGCGGGCGGCTGGGCAGCTCCAGCATGACCGGCCAGAGCCTGTGGGACGTGTCAGAGGCCAACGTCGTCGAGGACGGAGAGATCCGCATCAACGTGGGCGGCTTCAAGAGGAGGCTGCGCTCGCACACGCTGCTGCGCTTCCCGGAGACGCGCCTGGGCCGCCTGCTGCTCTGCCACTCGCGCGAGGCCATGCTGGAGCTCTGCGACGACTACGACGACGCCCAGCGGGAGTTTTACTTCGACCGCAACCCTGAGCTCTTCCCCTACGTGCTCCACTTCTACCACACCGGAAAGCTGCATGTGATGGCTGAGTTGTGCGTCTTCTCCTTCAGCCAGGAGATAGAGTACTGGGGCATCAACGAGTTCTTCATCGACTCCTGCTGCAGCTACAGCTACCATGGCCGCAAAGTGGAGCCTGAGCAGGAGAAATGGGATGAGCAGAGCGACCAGGAGAGCACCACATCCTCCTTCGACGAGATCCTGGCCTTCTACAACGACGCCTCCAAGTTTGATGGGCAGCCCCTGGGCAACTTCCGCAGGCAGCTATGGCTAGCGCTGGACAACCCTGGCTACTCGGTCCTGAGCAGGATCTTCAGCGTCCTGTCCATCCTGGTGGTGCTGGGATCCATCATCACCATGTGCCTCAACAGCCTGCCGGACTTCCAGATCCCTGACAGCCAGGGGAATCCTGGTGAGGACCCCCGGTTTGAAATTGTGGAACACTTTGGCATTGCCTGGTTCACATTTGAGCTGGTGGCCAGATTTGCTGTGGCCCCTGATTTCTTCAAGTTCTTCAAGAATGCCCTAAACCTTATTGACCTCATGTCCATTGTCCCCTTTTATATCACCCTCGTGGTGAACCTGGTGGTGGAGAGCACGCCTACCTTGGCCAACTTGGGCAGGGTGGCCCAGGTGTTGCGACTGATGCGGATCTTCCGCATCTTGAAGCTGGCCAGACACTCCACTGGCCTCCGCTCCTTGGGGGCCACCTTGAAGTACAGCTACAAAGAAGTAGGGCTGCTCTTGCTCTACCTCTCTGTGGGAATTTCCATCTTCTCTGTGGTGGCTTACACAATTGAAAAGGAGGAGAACGAGGGCCTGGCGACCATCCCCGCCTGCTGGTGGTGGGCCACTGTCAGTATGACCACTGTGGGCTATGGGGATGTGGTCCCAGGGACCACGGCAGGGAAGCTGACTGCCTCTGCTTGCATCTTGGCAGGTATTCTCGTGGTGGTACTGCCCATCACCTTGATCTTTAACAAGTTCTCGCACTTTTATCGGCGCCAAAAGCAGCTTGAGAGTGCCATGCGAAGCTGTGACTTTGGAGATGGAATGAAGGAGGTCCCTTCAGTCAATTTAAGGGACTACTATGCGCATAAAGTTAAATCTCTCATGGCAAGCCTGACGAACATGAGCAGGAGCTCACCAAGTGAACTAAGTTTAAATGATTCCCTACATTAGCAGAGACACCTTGTCCCTCTGAGTCCCACCTTGCTGAGCTGCCTCTTGTGCCTCCAGGCAGCTCTGGATTATGGTGAAATGAGTCTTCCCAAACCCTGAGGGGAGATGCATGGGATAGCACCCCAGGTCGCTGTTATGGTATTTAGAGTCACTTTAGAGGGTGGTGTGTCTGACACCATGCCTTTGTACCTTTCAACAAAATGACACTTGCTGGTCTCTATTGTGGGCATAAAATGTTCATCTTACTGCCAGCTGACTACCCAGAATGCAAATTTTTCTGTCCACTATGTTCACTATTCCAGTGCTTGTGCCCTGGTACTATCTGTGAGTTGTTTGTGCTCCTGTTTCTGAGGTTGTTATGTGAGTTGTATACAAAAAGAAGCCCCCACAAGTCTGTCCAGTAGAAATGCACCTGTCTATGATGTCAGCAAGAATAGCATGAGATTTTGCTTACTGTCATGTAAAAACAAAATCTCAATTCTTTACCCAGTGCTTTCACTTAGTTTTGATACCAAAACAAAGAGAATGCAAAGTTAAGCACACATGACCAATGCAAGTCTGTGTGCTGTTTTTATAGATGATCTCTAGCTCTGTTGTTTGCATGGGTACAGCAATCATTTTTAGAAAGATGTGCTCTCATATTCATCTCGTAGATGTCACTCTAGAAAATGTAACTCAGTCAAACATATAGTGAAGACAGAAGCGTTTTTTTTTTTTTCTTTCCAAAAACAGATATGTTAGAGACAGGGACTTTAACTAAACACTGACCCAGTTCCAGACTGCTTAACACTGAGTCCATGCAAGCTGGGCCCTTCACCTATGGTCAGGCCTCTGTCTCCTCCTGGGTGATCAGACAGACATTGGTTCCTGGTCTAGGCCACTTGACCAAAGTTGCATCAAAGCTGTGTCTTCTATATTAGCATGTTTTTTGAAATACTATTTTTTAAGATGTTTAGGGATAAGGTCATGTTGTCTTCCTCAAACTAGAAGAGGTTTACTGTTGTACTGTCTCGCTGAGTGAGCATTGTTAGGTTGCTAGCAAGCACAACAGCCTAAATACTTTTTTGCCTGCTCTGAAAGCTCATAAAACGAGAACCCTTTTTATTTCCAAGCAGAATTTGCTCAGATACCTTTGCTTCTAGGATACAGCATGTTGGGTATGATGTTAGGATTGCCTCAGAGATCCTGCTGTGACATGGAAACCTGGTGATACAGAAGCATATCCTCCCAACATAGATGGCAGAAGGCAGCGTGGCTCCCCAGGGTGGAAACAGTATGCTTCTTACTTCCTTTCTGATAGTCATGTGTGTGTGTGGGGGGGTAGAGCCCGGGAGAAAGAAAAGGGTCAGAAAACAAACCGCTATTTCATAAGTGTCTTGAATAATTATAAACATTGAGAAAAAGCTTATGGCTACTTCAAAGGCCTTTAAACTTCTAAGCTTGTGTTGGTGGGAGACCACTGTTTCCTTGTACAAAATGCCCCATCGCTTCCTCTTCTGTTAGCCAGCACAATACATGTGAAGGGGAACCTGGGCCCCTGTGTAAAATAATTTTTTTCCATCATCTTCTCAGTAATCTGATGGCTTTCCAGGAGGCTTTCATTACGGTGCAGTCTTTGCTAGTGCTATAGAATCCACATCTAAGCATGGAGTGAGGCAGGATTTCTATCCAAAGCTTGGGCCTCCTCTTAAGAGGCCCATTTTATGTTTTAAGTTGGTTGAGGGTAATCCATACCTCGTAGGGTCATAGAGAGGATCTCACAGAGGGCTTTTATGTACTTGTAGTTGCCATGGCTACTACAGTGTGGGCGATTTGCTCGATGAATGTGCTGGCCACTCCCACCCCAAGCCTGCAGTTCAAGTCCTTCCACAGCTTGGAATCTTTTGAGGTGTGGAGAGGTGGCCATGGCTGCCTCTTGGTGCCTACCTCTGTTTTTCAGAAAAATCAGGACAGGTGAGTTGACTTAAAGGCAACTGACCAGTGAGTCAGAAGGGCAAGATTCTTTTCAGATTTTGTACTTGGAACTCTTGGCTTGGGCTGAAGCTTTCAGCCTAGGAAGGCAGGAAGTGTACAAAATCATCCCCAGCAGTACTGAGGGCAGGGACGGACTCGTGAGGACTGGTTCATTTGCCAGGGCTGGTGGTCTCGGGTCACTAAGCGTGGTCTCCATGGTCACTCACCATGAAGCTGTGTGAAGTGGAGATGAGGAAGGAGAATAACTCAGTCTGTCTTGTGAATTCTTTTCTGAACAAGCAGGTTTACCACCCAACAAAGTGGCACTCTGAGTGGTTGCCCTTGCAGATGTAAAAGCTGGAAAACTTGACTTTTCTTTTTGGTAATGACTTGCATTTTTCTGGTGCCTTTCATTGGGGGAATCCCACAGTGCTTTAGAGACTGTCTTTTTAATATCTCTTGTACATATATGTATACTTATAAAAAATATTTCTTTGTCCACTGAGACTTCCGGTCACTTTTGAGCATGAGACTGTCCAAGTACCTGTTTTTGGGGAGAGGGAACACTGGCTTGAACTTTGCTGTGAATTCCCACAAAAGATGGAGACCCTAGTGTAGCCCAGGGAACCTCTTGCACTTCCAGAGTCACCAAGGCAGGAAGCTCACAAGCACTGTCTCGGAGACAAGGTTTTTGACTGACCTTATCAAGCAAGAATATGTGGAGTAGCACAGTGTTCTCTGGCCCCTGGAATTAGGCAGGGAGAGCCAGATCAATTTCCTGGCTTGTTCTCAGAATAAAGGCTGTTAACATGAGGAGGCCATTGGCGCCCAGTCTGTCAGACTGACCATAAGCCTCCTTTGGGAGGACGCAGTGGACACGAGATCATTTCTAGCCATAGACTTGAGAGCAGCCTCACTCCCAACATGTGAAAGTGGCTCCTTTCAATGCCACTGGGACAAGCATATGGGCCGGGTCCCATCACAGCATACGGGATGAGTATCTCCAAGGGGCTGGCTTGGGAAGTGACATCACGTGACTACACAGATGCACAGTACCCCAGATTTGTGGTTTTAACCAAACCCCTACATTTCCTGGGTTTGCTGCTAAGGAGGGGCATGTTGTAATGCCAAGCTGATTCGTAGCTCATCGGGTAGTAATTGGTATTTAATATTTTGATTTGTTATTTCTACTTATTTTAGCACTCAAGTCATCAAACTACCTGCCGATTCTCGCCTCGTTTCAGAGAAAATGCTTTGTTCTGCACTCCGGGATAGCAGTGATCTTTATGGACAGCGTGATATGTCCTTGAAAGCTGAACTGCTCTTTCTTGTATGTTTTAACAGCATGACTTGTGCAGAGTTGTAATTTTAAACATTGAGAACGCTGTATTTGCAATGTCAGCTTTACTACTCCTTACTACACACTACGTAAGCGTCGACACAGGCTCCGCAGAGCCCTTCTGTCGGATTGCTGGGCTGCCTCTGCAGGCCTTGGCTGGGGCGCGTGCCTGATCCGGTCAGGCCTCAGTGCTGCAAATGCAAAAGTTACTCAGAAAACAGCCGTCTACACCTCACTGAAGGCCTTTCAATCCCACAGGGAGTGGGAAGCCCAAAGACATTTGAAGTTGGGAACCAGACTTCTGGAGAAAGCCTGGACTTTTTGAGCAATGGTTGGGAAGGAAAAGTTGATTATTCTTCATGGGCAAGTAGGGGAGGGATTCCCTTTGGGTCAGGATCTAGAGCCACTGGAATACTTGCTGAGGTAGGGCAATGTTTGTGTAGTTTTTGGAACCTCGTGACCAAGGAGCTTCACCAGGTTTTCCTCCTGCCCAGCACCTCCAATAACCTACAGGCCACTTCTTCCTATCCTGGGAAGCAGGTCACATGCTGGCTACCCTGAGTGTCTTGGGTGGTTGGGTGTATTACTTGGGACTCTTTTTTTTTAATTAACCTTATTGCTATATTTTATTTTATTTTTTGTATTTTAGGGAAGGGTCTACAGGGTGTTCAGGTTCTCACTACTAGATTGGACTTGTAGTGATCTGCCTATTTACAGCTGGGATTACAGACACACGCTACCATGCCCAGTCTCAATTGCCATCTCTGTGCACCCCAGGGGCAGGCCCAGGGATTGGACCCCCAGCCCCTGAACCTGCTTGCAGGTGCTTTAATCCACTGAGCTATTTCACCGACCCTTACTTGGGACTCTTGCAGGGTCTTAGTTTTTTGGCCTTAGAGCATGATCTATACTGAAGGTCATGGGGAATTAGAGGGAAGGGCACAGGGCTGAGGCCCCTGCTCCTTTAATTCTGCTGTCATCTCTCCCACACCTTGCACGGAGGAGGTGGCCCATCCAAAAGGCCTGGCCAGCTGCTTGCCTCAGTGTAAAGCAGCATTTCTACATGTCTCTGTCCTCATTACAGTGGCAAGCGACCCCGACATTCCCAATCTATCATAAGCAAAGCAGCGGGATTGCTTACCAACAGCCTTCTGCCCGCATTCATCTCTCTCTTCAGCAGGTGGCCCCAGTAGATGACAGTACGAAGTAGATGACAGCACTACCAAGGAAATGCCTGGACGAGGGTCTGTTCTAAGTGGACAGAATTTTAAAATCATTAGCAGTTTTGGTCTCTGGACTTTATTTTGTTGATTTTTTTTTCCAGTTCTGGGGATGAAATCCATGGCTTCTACACTGAGCTACATTCCCGACCTTTATTTTTTATTCTATTTTGCTTTTGTTTTTGTTTTTAGACAGGGTCTTTCTATATAGTTTAGGCTGGCTTTAAACTAACTTACTGTACAGCCTAGGCTGGCCCCAAACTCTCAGCAATTCTCCTGTCTCAGCCTCCTGAGGGCTAGAATTCAGGTATACATCACTGTGCCCACTTGGTCTTTAGATTATTGACACTTACTTATTCCTAATCCAAATTCCCACTATTAAAAATTATTACGGAGAAAAATCTCACTGCTCTCACTTGGCTGTAGGGCTGACTGCTTTGTTGTTGGTCCTTGTGTGAAGCTGGCAGGCCGATCTCTACCATCTTCCCATGAGGTTATTGGGGTGCACTTAGGGATCCAGGCGCACAATAGTCATCGGGGATGAGCCCATGGCATGTGTGCCCAAGCAGGCTGTTGTGTCATGGGAAGCCCTCCAAGGTTTGCCATCACTGGGATAGATGAATCTCTCTATCCCACACACGACTTATGTGTAAGCTGCAGGGAAGGGGAGCTGTGGGTGTCCCCTTCTGTGTAAGTTGAGGCAGGATACTGCGGGGCCTATGTGCAGCTCCCAGAAAGCTCTAGACATATACGGCAACCCACACCTTCCTATTAGGTGTGGCTATCTTGTCTCCTCTCTGGCACAGTTATAAACAGGTGTCCAGGACATCCAGG